GTAGCTTCAAACAGCCAGATCTGCTGCTTCTCAGCATTTCGGATCTCTCCAAGGTGGGATCAAACTTGCTGATGCTTGGTAGCAATTCATTTCATTTTACATTGTTACATCATCATGACTCAATTTTTATAAATTCAGTCTAGACTGTGTGATTGGTAAATTTTCAACTGCCAAGTAGCAGCACATTTTCATTTAATTTCTGATTTTATTATTTTTCATGTATCAACCATACACAGTTTCTAGAAGACAATTACTCATTTGCTCGGTGTAGCAAAGGGTCAAAACACCTAGCAACAAGATCAACCACTCCTTCCTTATTAAAATATCATGTTTTTTGTCAGCTCCTTTCTCAGAGTATCTCTTGGCATCTGACTAAATCTGTTTGAAGCTGCGACTCATTTGCAGGGATTTGTAGGCTAAGATAGTAGCTCTCTGGGAGGACTAAGATTCTTTGAGAAAACAGATCCAGGATTCCAAAATCTAAAAGAGGTCGACTGGATTGTAGTTTGATAACTGGGGATTCTTCAAAACTCCGTTGGATATTTCTGAAACCTTTATTAAATTAGTGAAACAATAGCATTTCAATGCTTTTTGGCCATTGGGAAAGGAAAAATCATCCATATTTACATCCAGTTTGTTGTTGATCAAGGCTCATTTCTCTGGACTAATCTAAACTGATGAATTATGTTATTGAATGGGGATGCAAATTTACAACAAAATAAATATTTGCATTTTTGTTTCCTATCTTTATTGGAAATCAAGAAATTAATTTATGTTTAAGTAAAAATGGTAATGTTTTTACATAAACCAGCTACCTCACAGCGCCCACTGGTGTTCCAGTAAATGAAGGTGCAACACTGGTATATTGTAAATATTTAACAACTGTAAGGAAGCAGATGTTTACAAAAATCATTTTGTTCATTTCTACAAATATAATCTGTTTCATAAAGTCCCAGGTTTCCTTCATGCTTCTAAGGTAATACTGGTCTAATCTGAGCTGGATAATCCCTTCTGTTCAAGTTTTTCCTGGATTTTATCAGCAGTTAGGTTGAGTTGACAGTCCCTCAGAGCTGCTATCAGCTCCTTTGTTTGGACCTCAGGTCCTCTAATCTTCCTCCACTCCTTCAGCAGCTCCATGGCGGTCTCCTCCAGATCGGTGGGCTGCCGTGTGGCGATGGAGTCCAGCTTGGTCTCCCCCAGTCGTAGTTTGCGGCCTAGTTTGCGCCAGTTCCTCCCCAGATTGTCTCTGATCACCTCCGTGGCGATGTCCAGTTTGTCTTGAGGGACAAGAATAATATTAATGCCAATATTGATTAATTGTTGACTACAGTATACTCCAACTGCTGTATTATGGGTAAAAGTAGGTTTATAACTTTGAACAACCAATTCAGAAGACACATTAAAGCTCTGTAGTTGATTTTACACAAACTATTTAAGAGATACATTAATATGACAGTAACACCGATGTATTGTTATTTTTTTCCTTCCTTTGATGTAATGTTACTACAAATTCCTTCCCAGTTTATGTCTTTATATTTCCACATTTTACTCCAATGGAAAGCAATACTTACACTACAACTACAAGTTGTGCCCAAGCCAATTTGCGAGTGTAATAATGATTATTTTCTCTAATTAAATCCAGTGTTTTTGTTGCCACCCAACCAAACATGTACTGTGTTCAGATCCGATACTGACACCCTTCCTGTGTGATTCAACCCAACCTGGACAGATTTTCTTGGTTCTGAGAACAATTTTCTTTAGATCATCACAGTGGATTAAAACACAGTTTTATAGTTGTAATGTAATCTGTCTTGAGACACACTGACAGACATGTCATAGTCTGGCACATATAAAGGGTCTTACGTTGAATTTAACAACATTAACTTGGTGTTAACACGACTTCAGTAAGGAAATCCCAGCAAGGTTCCTTAAAGTTCCAGTTTGGTAATTTTTTCCAGATAACAGAATATCAAGTTTTTATTCCTGCTATGTCATTCTGTGGTAAAAAATAAATAAATAAATAATTCATATACTGGACAATAAAGTCAGCCACATGAAAAAGGTTCATGATTTTTGCTTTAACTTAAAGACATTTTCTGATAAATGATGTTTCGCAGCCCAGCTACCCATCAGCGCCCTCTGGTGTTTCAATAAATGAAGGTGCAAAACAGGTGTTCTATCAGGATGTATGCATGTCATACATCCTGACATGCAGTCAGGATGTATGACAGAATACATCCTGACTGCATGTATGCCGTCAGGATAGCATACATGCAGTGAGTACGCATGCCCGCGCATGCGCATTAAGAAGACCGACCGTCAGTGGAGTTGTCAGTTCAGCATACGCAACAAGTTATGACGAAAATAAGTCATTAAATTGTTTATAATATGATATAATGTGATAATTAGATAGATATACATGCGTTGTCGTGGTTTCAAAGTGTATTTAAAGCAGGTCTGGCTGCAGCTGCAGTCAATTACAACACACGCCTGTGTAAAACTCATTAACCTACTTAACCGCTAAGTCAGGATGCCATACAGCTGTTAATAACAAAGTGTATGATAATATACGTCATAATTCTATGTTGCTGGTTAAATAAAAGCATATGGTAATGACAGCGTATACATGTCTGAGGTAAGCGCATGACTATCTGACAACGTATGCTGATCTGACAGAACACCGGCCCTGACCAGGACAGAAAGTGAAACCGCGCTCTCCAAGTGTCTTTACCTCTCTCGGTGTCGCTCAAGCCGTATTTGGGGTCTTCTTGCTGGACCTCCCAGTTGCTTAGCTTCTCGGATAGATCATCTCGCTGGACCTGCCGCAGAAGCTGACATAGATAGTTTGCTTTGTCTTTTCCTAGTTGGCCTCTTTCCGTCAGAATCTCAAACAATTGGTGTCCTGTTTTGATCCTTTCCAACTTTTGTTTCCCAATGTGGTCTCGAACTAGAAACTTGAGTTGTTCTAGGTTTTCCTCTTTGAGCATATTTGAAATGCCCAGCAGAACGGAGTTAAAGCTTGAAGCGCTCATGTCTCCGCCGCCGCCTGGAGCTCCTGACCGAGGTCGTTTCCTTTCACTTCCGCCTGGTGGTTGTTTCGGGTTCAGGGATGGGCGTTCCTCTCCAATCTGGAGCCTTTTCTGCCTCCTCATGCTGACTTTTTTTTTTTTTGGAGGCATTTTAAGTAATTTAGTCAATGTTTTGCCTCTTATAGAGAGGATTTAACCTTTTTTTCCCCTGTTTATATGTCTGAATAAGGAAACAATGAGGTAAGCTCTTCAAAGTCACATCTATTACCTGAATATGCTTGTCTTAAAACAGTATCTTCCCTGAAAATAGAAAACTTTTTACCATCTACAGCAGTGGTCCCCAAACTTTTTATTACCGCGGATTGGTCAAGACTTGGAAATTTTGCTGCTTGAGTTTTAACTCAAATCAAGTTAAAACAACATTTTAAATCAAGTTTTAACTTTTCATCTCCTCAGTTGGTTTGGTCACATGAGCAGACTAACAGAATCTTCTAAGAATACTTTGAATGGCATGTATAACAGCAGGTAAATAGTGGAGAAACCAAAGACAACTCTGTCTCAACTGTTTGCTGAAAGAACATGGAAGATGGCAGAAATACTTTAGCAGGAAGCATCCATCCTCATTATTCATCAGTTTGAACCTCTGAACTCATGAAGGTGTTACTGCGTTCCTCTGGCAACTAAGAACATCTATTAGACGTCATTCATTGACAGTGCAATAATTATTCTTAACCAAACTAAATAATATTTACCTATACCATGCTAAGTATTTTGTTCTATTCACAAATTGTTGATAATCAATCATATCAATAAATCAATCAATCAATCATATCTTTCTTCCAGACACTAAAAGGGTCTATAGAAAAAAAGGTAAAAACAAGCAAAATAAAATAAAAATAAAATAATCTATTCACCGAGTCACAAATAAAGGATGACGCCAATGATTCCATAATCTTAAAGAGAATCTCACAGTACTAAAAGCAGGATTTACTAAAATTGCAATTATATTATTGCATGACACAGATAATCTACACATGCATTTATACATAAGATTCCTGAGCACAGCTGCACATGTGGGAACAGCATTATATACAAACATGTGGCTAGCACTACTC